TAACACAAACAAACGATGTACTTTTTTTTTTTTAGCTTTGATCCACTTAACGACACAAAAGCCGGTCGGTAAATGTTCACGTCAAAATGACATTTTCTTTTACCATTTTGCAAGTCAATGCTGTGAATCACAACGCATGTACTTTTTTTATAAAAGAAAATTTGTAATTGGAAAATAAAAAAAAATGATATTATATTTTTTAATATTGTTTAAGAATAATATATAAATACGAAACTATTTTGTAACGAAAATAATAAAATAATATCATTTAATTTGATATCTCATGTCTGGTTCGTTAATTGTATTTTAGGTTTCTCCTTTTCTTATTTCTTTTGTATCACAAAAAATTATAGTGTTGTGGTCAAATTAACTTAATTTTGACTATTATTTTAATAAAATAATAAAATTTAAAAAATAAAATTTGTAAACTTTGAGTTTCAAATTTTTTTAAATTTATATTTTTAAAAATTTTAATTTAATATTTTTTAAATAAAGTCAAAATAGAATTAATTTTGATTAAAAAATCAATAAAAATAATTATTTTAAGACGAAAAGAATTGTAATATTTCTTTTGTATTCTCTACAATTTATTTTTTCTTTCCTACGAAGGAAACATACTCTTATTTTAATAGAAATTAATAAATATTAATTACATAATTTTCTTCTTATCATCAACATTACTTGAAGTATAAAAATAATTATTTATGCTTTTAATTTTATTTGTACATAAACTAAATTTTCATTTCTTAAATGTCAAATTTTTTATTTGCTGTCCCTGTTGAATAAAAAATTAAATGATGACAATTAACATATCTCAACCTACAAGATATAGAATCATATAAAATAACACAATAATTGAGATCACAGCTCAATATTTTATATTATCTATATGACCTATTAAAACATATTGATATTTTTATATTCATAATATTCTTTTTTTTTTCTCCCTCAAACTCGATCCATGCTAAAGAAAGGCATTACTGGACCGAGAATCACGCTTTCAAACTTTTTGGAAACAACGTGAATCCGTCGCTGATTACAAAAAAGAAAAAAATTGTATGACAAAATTATTTTACATCAATATATATTTATTTAATTTAAATTATAGCATAGAATTATTATTAAAAAATAAATTATTTATTACATATCATATTAAATAATAAATATTTATTTTTGTAAATTTATTAATGATTTTAATGATAAATGATTAACTTCTTTGATATTTATATTCTTTTTTTTTTTGTTAAAACTCATAAAAAGGTTTTTTTTTTTTTTTTTCTGAGGCAATCAATGGAAAATAAACAAAATTTTAATCATCTATAAGCAATTTAAGCAAAGTTCAAACATAAAATAATTCATAAATGCCCAAAGCAGATCAACCTAAATCCAAACGAATATTCAATTTATATGTTAACCGGAAAAGCAAATTATGCATGTGGGTGGTTGGTTGGTTGGTTGGTAGGAAGGCTTAGGGGGCAGGAGGAAATGGAGATTGAAGGAGGGCGAGCGAGGGAGAAATGAACAAAATAAATGAGGCAAAAGGAGGAAGGTAGGGGGGAGGAAAGTGAGATCGAATTGCTTTTGGCTGTCTTTTATGGTCCTTACTGTCTGCTAACTGTTCGTCAAATTGATTCATAAAAATCTTTAACTGTTAACCAGACGCGGCTCATTGAATTAAAAAATTATGGGTGAGACGTTGGATTTAAGGCATTCATATATAAATAGATATAAATATAGATAAATTCAAAGTATAGTTTCAAGTATTTCGATAAAGATTAAAATTTGTACTTCTTTTTTTCATTTCCTTTTATCTATTTTTTTAAATATTTTAAAATTATGTCTTTTTTCAGTATTTAAAAATTTTATTTTTTATGATTTTTTTAAACTTTTTGACATTAAAAATTATGAAACTTTAATTTTATAAAAAAATTAATTCTAATGTTAAATATATTAAAAATAAAATTTTTTTAACTCCGTAAAAATTAATATATAATAAATATTTTGAGACAGAAAGTATAATTATCAATTATAGCATTTTCGAGAAAAATTTTCAAAACTTATTTTTTAATTATAAGAATTTTTGTTAATGAATATTTTTAAATATTTTTTTAAATTCTTATAAAAATATTATATTAACTGTATTGAAAGTCATTAATGAAATTATTAATGATTATATTTAACACAAAGTATTATAAATAAAAATATATTAACTAATCTGAATAACGTTTTCGAGGCCAAAATTAATATTCAATAATATTCTAAGAGCCTTTAAAAAATCAAAATTAAAAAATGAAATCAACACACAAAAAAATCATATGAATAAAATCAAATGCCCAAAAAGAAGAAACAAACATTAACAGCCAATCAAATTACAAAAATCAAAACTCCAAAGTAAAAACCAATCAAAACTAAAATAATACACAATCACATGCTTTTTTTTTTTAAGAAAAAATCTAATCAAAATTCCAAAGTAAATCATATTTTTCTTGACTGGATTAACTATAATGAATTTTTTTTAAGCAATAGCGCCCGTGAGTTTTAATTATTCAAAAGAAAAAAAATTAAGGTTTTGGTTCAGTGTTAATGGGTTAATTAGAAGTAAAGAAAAAAAAAAAAGAGAATAGAAGATGAAGTGTTAAATTTTTATGGGATAACTTCAGAAAAAATAATTAAAAAACTCTATCTAAGTTCTGCCCTTGATAAATAAATATTTTAACGAAAATAAAATAATTTAATTAATAATTAATTAATTTAATTGATTAAAATTTATTTATTTTAATAAAAAAATTTTAAATTTAAATTTTATCAATGATAACATGTTTAAAATTATCTTAAATGCATCTCTTTTTAAATAAAGATGAAGGACAAATCTTTCCCATCTTTTCTCTTTAGAAGAAAAAAAAAACATAACAAAATTCCAATTTGAGATGAAACCAACCAACCACATCCTATTTTATAAAAAATTGGCCAAGGCAATTTTCTTCGACAAGTGGTATTATTAAAAAAAAAAAAATGGCCAAGTATCACTCAACACTGACTTGACAGTACTAAGAAAAAGAGAAACAATTTGATTCATCATGATCGGAAGGAGTCCAAGTAAAATGGTTAACAATTAAATCTTGGATGTCTAAATTGGAATTACTGGCACGCCACACCTTCATCATTACTTGTCACTATTCTATTTATTTCATAAGTTTTTATCATTTTAAGTAACGTCATTCAACCTGTCACGTTAACCGGAAGGTCAACTAACATTAAACTTGCAAGACCAAAACCCAATACCATTTAGCAACACGTTTGTGGAGGATTTACTCAAGTGTACGCGTTAGAAAATGACTAATGAAACATTTGTAAATTTAACGTAAATTATCATTGAAGCTTTGATATTGTTGAGCTGTTACTAGCTGCTACAAGATTATAACTCTTACTATCTTGCAGGAAAGGCTACGCCTAAACGCCATTGAAACGAAGAATAGAAGTTCCTCTAATAAAATGAAAAATAAGAAGAAGAATAACCAAATTAAACCGTAATCAAAGGAAGATAAATGCAGAAAAAATATATTAAAAATGAAAAAAAAAAAAACTAAAATAGCAGCACACTAAGATTTCTAAGGTAAAATCTTGGACACGAAAACAGAGTAAACAACTAAAATAATACCGGAAAGAAGATGCAAAAATTCGACGTTTCTATCTCTTGTGTTCGACAGATAGAAGGTTCTATCAGGTGCTCAAACGAACAAGGCGCTCTCCGAACAGAATTTTGAACAGAACCGGGTTTAACTCCCCGCTTTTGAGTTGAGTTCCTTGTACTTTTCTTTTGTTGTCCTCAACATATAGAAACTTTCAAGGGTAATCCCGTCCTTTTGACGTCGATAGAATGGACCTCCTTTGATAATTTTGGGTCCAGCTTAGCCCAATCATCGACTGCCATTGCTTTCTTTTTCTTTTTCACCTTTCAATTTTCATGAAAGGGTGATGGATTTGTTTTGAGCAAAGGCCATAGCTCAATGGCCAATGGACTCCTGCCGGCCTTTTAACATCTCACAATAATTTTTGGAATTGAAGAACTGCTAAGTCCCTTGAAAAGGTAAACCAACTTTAATTATGTAGTTCTTAATCAAATTAACGTTCGTTGATTTTTTTCATTTTGAAAAAGATTTTTTTGCATATAGTATCTGAGTGCATAATCAAACTAATAAATCATCAAAATATAGACGTATGCCAAGTATTAGCGCCATGGATTTTTTGTTTAATTAGCCACCAATAAAATTCATTCTTTTTCAACAAAATTTGATTTCTGCACGAGAGATTGAAGCGGGGACAGCCACAGCGATCAGGTTGGTTGTTGAGACGGAAAGGGAAGCGAATCCATTGGTTCCCGTATGAAACACGGAAAATTTCAACGCTTGTTGATGGTTGAAGAGAGAGTAAAAGAAAGGATAAGATAAGGATAGGTAGGTTGTTTTAAAGAGAGCCATATGGTGCTAAATGAAAGCTACAAAAATTATGTTTGCCTTTCAAACTTTCATGACTATTAAGTACACAAAGAAAAATTAAAGAATTTTATAATAAATTGTATGATCCAAAGAAAATGAGAGAGAGAACATAAAGAAGAGTTCAAAGATGTCATTTTATGCTTACTCGTATGGCAAAAAGAGATGTATGATTTGTTTTTCTTCGAAACTTTCCTGGTGTCCATTTATAATGGTTCAATGGAAATGAGTCAAAAGAGTAGGTAATTTTTATAGTATTTTGAGAATTTCTCGGAGCTCAACTGTTGGAATAGGTGAGGGAGATTGTGGTTGGTGGCAGCAAGGCCGGATCATTTTCTAGAAAATTAAGGCTCCAGCCGCCATGTATGATCAAAGTATAACACTGCAAGGATAAAAGTTTGTACGTACAGGGCTGACCGGTAAATGAGGGACTTAACAAATTAATTTGGAATATTTTGGAGATTAACACTACGTATAATACAAGCATATACTGTACCCCAAAATAATTACAAACATTTTTGTAGAATTAATCATCTATAGTGGTGGTGGTGGTGCTGATGAAGAGGGTACTGTAGAATGGATTATTAAAGCAGACTCTTGATCTGGCGATTTGCGACAGACAGGGCATGCTGCATTTAGTCTAAGCCACTCATCTATGCAGTCAGCATGAAAGTAGTGATCGCAATCAGGTATTGTTCTTATTGTCTCTTTGGCTTGATATTCTGATAGACATATTGAACAAGTATTATCATTAGGCCTTGGAAGCCGGCAGCTTTCATCAAGCAAAGTAATTGGATAGGCTTCAATCCTTGATCCATCGAGGCCATTTACAGTACGAGCGGCTAATTGCGGCTCTGCAGCCAAGCTGGATATTTCGACAGTGGATTGGTGGCGCTGATCATTACCATGGACAATGAGCTTGTGATGAATAATAAACACCACAATGAAGAAGAGGGGTGTTCCCAGGGAAAAAATTAAGGCATATTTGGCACCGTTTGAAAGACCTAAAACATTTGCAAATCAAGTTTAATTAATGGGCGAACTTACTAAATATTTAAAGGATATGTATAAAAACTATAGTTAATGAAATTAAACTAGCGTATCTAAAATCTTACAGTTTTCATAACCTTAAATTCGTTTCCTGAATTCGAAGTTCAATTCATTCTTAATTTGATTTTTCATATTGGTCTTTTATTGGTAACTAAAGCACACAATCAATCTTGCTGTGAGAAAAAAATATATGAGAAATCATCCAAGAACATGGTTTTATTTGCAAACATACCACTTTTCTTTTTGAAATCATTGCATCCACCGGTGAATTCGCAATATCTCGAATGGTTTTCACAGTTACATGACGACTGGCAATCTGGTTCTTCCCATGTTAACAGAAGCTCACTAAGATAGTATGGCCAATTTTGAACCGGAAGGGGGACGAAAATCGTTGCTATTTCTAGACATGACCCCAACGAGGTCGACTGATTGTAAGCAATTGTGGGGATTGCAAAAACCATAAAGTTTGTATCGCTAAGGCATGAAATATATATTGCAGGATAGTCTATTGATACAAAGGAGGAACAGTTGAAAAAGATGTAGCTTTCAGGGTATTGTGGCTCAAAAGGAGTGCCATAGAGATCTAAACCCTGAAGGAGATGTTTTGCAATGCAATTCTCTGGGTCGCTGATCAGTAAATTTGTCGCTAAGTAACCGATGGCGTCGACAATAAACTCACCGCTAAATGGAAAAGTGATCATTGTTCGGGATTTGTTTGTGCATGAGAGATTGAAATTGGGATTGCCGCAGCAGTCCGGTTGGTCTCTTAGCCGGAAAGGGAAGTCAACTATTACATCACGGCAGGAAACCTGCTGGCATGTTTCACCGTTTGTAGATGGTTGAAGAAACAACAAAAGGAAGAAGGGGAAGAAGAAGAGTTTTGAGAGAGCCATTTTCCTTGAAGGTATTTGCTTCTCATTTAACAAAGAAATTTGTTAATTCTTCCCTCGTAATCGAGGCCTACGAAACAAAGAATAATTTTAAGTTGGATAAATAGTTTAGACAGATAATCCAATCAAACAAGTCAATTAGGAGGCTTCCCATAGTTTTGCTGTAGTTGTTGTTGAGCTTTTGAATGTATTATTTATTATATGTACATAAAAACATAAATATATGCAAACAAATTGATTCTTTCTCAATTGTCCTATCAACTTTTTTAATTGGGTTAATTTGAAATTGGCCTCAAAGTATATTATTTGTCATGATTTGGTAACTTAATTTTGTTTTCATCAAATAATTTGCACAATTGACTTGTAGTGTTAGATAAAATGATGAGAAAGAATTGTACCAAACAATTACGTCACATTAGTATATGTCCATTATATTCAAATCATACTACATAATCATGTTATTAAAAAAAGTTTACTCTTTATTATTCATCACATACGATAATTAAATGATAAATCGCATCAGCATATGTTCTTTTCATTCAAATCATATGATATAGTTATGTTATAAGAAAAAAATCAATTATTTATTACACATAATTTGTGATAATTATGATGAATATATATTTAAATATATTTATTAATTATTTTATAATAAATAATTATTTTTCAATAATGTGATTACGATTGATGATTTGAATAGAAAGAATATATGTTAACATAATGTAATTATTTCATTTAATCTTATATTCTAAAATAGTAGATATTAATCAATAAAAATATGTCACGTGTCATAATTTTATTCGTTGATTTCTTATTATATCAACATATTATTAACGAAGTTGATGTTTTTAACAAATGATTTGATATAATAAAAGTTGATGTATCAAATTGTAAATTTTTTTATAAGTTCTAAATCGTAAATAATGATATAGTTCAAGAGCCGGATTATATATTATCCTTTTTAATTTAATAAAAAAATCTTATTTTTTATTTTTTAAAATATTATTCCAAAAAAATTATATTATATATATTTTATTTTTTTCTGTATATAGTATTGTTTGTTATTTTAATTATAAAAAAAAAAAAAAAAAAACTGAATACATGTTCTTATCCAAGCCATCAAGGACAATTTTCTTCACGTTATGAATCAATTATATTTCTAATTATAGAAGTTCTTATTGCTTTCAATCCACATTAAATACTAAGATAAGAAATTAGAAATATTAACAAGATTCCTTTCATTGTTCAATTTTTTTTGCACCCTTCTAATTTGATGAATTGATTGATAAAATAATACGATTGTGGGATTTAAAACGGGGTCGTGTATGTACGTATAGTTAAAAACAAAAGAGAAGATATTTCCCCGTTACTTCTTGGTACAACGAGGAGATAATCAATATCACGGTTCCAACCTCGAATTTTATACGGCTAATTTAATATTGTTATTATGGTTGAAAAAATTTTAAGTTCAAAGAATATGTTTAAAAAGTATAATGAAAAAAATGTGATTAAAATTTTTGAAGTTTTAGTATTGTTGTTAAAAAATATGGTGAGTAATTGAAATATTTAAAAGTATATGTATAAAATAATATATTATAAATATAGGGATAATAAAGTAATTTTTTATTTCATACTATTTTTTTATTTCCAAAACACTTCTTGAAAAGTTGTTTATTTGAGTTGAAAAATTAGTTTTTAAATTGAAAGTTCAAAATTTTGTTTATTATTTAACATTACATTTAGATCAAAGGCAACTTTGAAATGTAAAAATTACTTTCAACAACAATACTAAACGAATTGAGACCAATTAACGGTTCTATTTCCATGCTTATGTGAGAAACTACGATAAAATTCTATATTTAATTAATAAGCTCTAGCATAGAGTTGACAATTTAACTCATATCCGACGGGTTTCGATCCGACTCGATCTTATGGGATTGATTTTTTTTTTTTCAAAATTCAAGTTTTGGGTCGAGTTGAATCGGATAAGATTATGAAATAATTGAGCTCGGGTCAGGTTCGGATTTTAGACAAACCCAATCAGACCCGACCCGATATTATATAAAAAAATATTTTTAATTAATTATTTAATTTTTTATTTATATAATGATATTTTTAAATATTTATATTTAAAAAATATTTTATATTTTAAAAAAATAATATTTTATTAATTTCAAGTCGAGTACGATTTATATAGTATCAAGTCAGAGTCGGATTCGAGTATTGAAAAACAAAAAAAAAATTTGGATAAGATCAGATTTGGGGTGAGCAAAACCCACATCAAACCCGATCTGATGCCAACTCTACTCTAGCATTGGGTATATACAAACAGAAAAGTTGTAGGAAACTTACATTAAACAATTAATTCCAAAGAGAACTTAATGAGACAAATTGGAGGCTGACCTTTAGAATGTGTAGAGATGATCGATTCAGCAGCTAATATGGTAAATTTGATTCCGTGCTCACTGTTTTGTAATTTGGAAAACACAAATTAAAACAAAGAAACAAATGGTTAATTGATATTTGTCGTCGGTCTAATTTCAAAGTTCAAATTTATGTTTCTTTTTTAATATTAAAGGTACTGACTAAACTTAATTTCGTGTGCCGTATTTGTTTCCAAGAAATTAAATTAACAAATAATCATCAACTGATTTACTACAATATTCTTATTTTAGAGCGTAAATGGTTAAAAGAACAATTAGGACTCTAAGAGGTTAAATTTTTAGATTATTTCAATGGTCATTTTATATATTTGAAATTTGTTATTAATTAAAAAAAAAAGAGAATTCGTGTTTGTCATGTTTCTTCCATAATCTATATTAAATCTCCACACTATCTTGTCATTAGCAATATTTTGATATATATTTTTTTATTCATATTAAATATTAATTATATATATATATATATATATACAGGAATAAATGCTATATTATATCATATAATATATTATGTCTTTATGCAGATTTTTGTGTTATTCTTCCTTTTGACGAGCCTCAAGTTAAGTCTTGAATTTCTCGTGTTGGGTATGCTGTCATGGTTGATATTCAATGTCACCCACCCATGCATTTAAATGGAACCAAAAAATAAGAAAAAGCAAAAACAGAAAGAAAAGCGCTTAATGCACGGTAAATTCTAATTGGTAATCCTGGGTATAGAATAATTGCAAATAAAATATACATTGAGATGAAAAATCCAAGACAATGCAGCTTGGCTTGACCTCTGACGTTTTTCTCATTGATATCCTCTAGAAAGCATACTAAAATCCAATGCTTGCGGCTTTCAAAAACAGTCTCTGTTACTGACTAAAAAAAGCATATTTTTGTAGTATATTTTAATTGCGACACAAAGGACAAGTTGCATTTCGTTTAAGCCACTCATCGATGCAATCGGCGTGAAAGTAATGCATGCAACTAGGTATGGTTCGTAAAATCTCGTTGGCTTGGTACTCTAATAGACATATTGGACAAACGTCGGCACTGGGTTTTGGTAATTGCATGCTTTCACCGAGCAACGTCGTGGGATACATTTCGATCGTAGGCTTGTCGAGTCCCTTTGCGAAAACATTTCCCCCTTGTAGAGTGTAAGTGGAGTTGGAGATGTCAGCGGCGTTGGGTTGGCTTTGGCCACGACGCTCTATCTTGCGTTGGATGCAAGTTATAAGCCCAAAGATGCACAAGACACAAGCCACAACAAAAATGGCGGCGTATATAGTATTTGATAGAAATCCTGAAAAAGCAGATTAAATTGAAGTGATGAACGATCTCAAACTTCATAATTAACATGGGAAGTGATCTTTACATGCTTTTTATTTCTTTTTATTTTTTCATAATGACCATCTATTGACCTGTTTTATTCAAAATTCATTCCTGAAATTTATCAGTGAACAATAAAAAAAATGGAATTAAAGCTTACGAGGATCAAAAGGATCGAAGCATCCCATATCCAAACTCATAATAGCCTTGAACTGGCAAATCCCTGCAACGCTTTCACACGATTGGCAATCTGGTTTTTTCCATGTCAAGGTGATAAAATCACCAAGAGAGTCAGAAGAATCATCAACCCGCAAACTCGGGTATAAAAACGTTGCTATCTCCGAACAACTCAATATATTGGAGCCATTGTAACGATCATTCGGTAAAGCCACGACGGAATAACTTTCACTACTAAGACAAGGAATTGGTGATACTCCGGTACTTGGGAAAATCAGTGCATCGGATGTGCAGTTGAGAAACGTGAAGTTTCGAGCGTAAAGTGGCTGAAAAGGAGTGTTCAAGTAATCAAATCCCTGAAGAAGACGTTTGGCGCTGCAGTTACTTGGATCACTTATGCTAATAAGTTGCCACAAATAGTCGATGGATTCGATTCTGAATTCACCGGATGGAAATGTTAGGATGTTTTGGGTTTCGTTTTCGCATAAGACAGTGAAGCCCGGTTAGCCACAGCGGTTCTCAGGTAGGCTACTGATAATCTGAAAAGGGAAGCGAATCGGCACCGGTCCGCATCTGGTTCGGCATATTTCATAGCCTTTTGATAGTTGAAGAAAGAAGAAGAGGAAGGAGAAGAACAAGTAGAGTTTGAAAGAAGTCATTTTTTACCTTTGCCCTAGAAGAGGTTGGCATATATTGTTGTTATTGTAACTCTCACCATTAGAATCGCTTTATCCAAAAGCAAACAACAAATTTCTCTGTTTTATGTATTGGTGTGATGTGCTAGCTTTGTTGGTAAGCAACGCGTACGAAGTGGAAAGCTGTAATTTTTTTATTTTTTTTTTACCCAGATAATCCAATGAAAAAGAGAAAGATTAGAGACTGACCTTGGAAATTATGTAGATAATTAATTCAGCAATCTTGATCTCATACTGTTGGTATAATAAAATATCACCTAAAATTACTGTAATGCAATTAATTAGTTAAAATTCAATATTTTGATGCTTTATTAAAAGTTTTTATAGGATCCATACTCTGGACCCTTAGATAATTTTTTCTATGATGGGTTAATTGCAAGATTATAATATAATGAAATTTCAAATTTGTGTTAAATCAAAGACAATTGACAAACACTGTTGCAATTAATGTTCTGAAACGAGAAATTTGTTTGTTTGACAAAATACAAAAATCCAGCAAGCACACAGCAGGAACTTCCCAAAACTACATACATTATACACAGGAGCTGATAAATGGCATGTAATAGAATTTGTCTATGATGGTAAGAGAGAAGCTGATGATGAAGAGGAAGATATAGATGGGGTCATTCCAGCAGATTCACCGGGTGAATTACGACACAAAGGGCATGAACCATTCATCTTTAGCCACTCATCTATGCAATTGGCATGGAAGTAATGGTTACACTCCGGTATAGTTCTTAATGTCTCCTTAGGCTGGTACTCTGATAAGCATATGGGGCAAGTGCTATCGTTAGGCTTAGGAGGACGCCCGCTGTCACCGAGCTTAGTCTTGGGGTAGGATTCAATAGTTGGTCCGTCGAGTCCTGCCACAAAAATAGCCGGTGAAGGGGAGATTGATGTGGAGAATTCGAAGCTGGGGAGGTTGCGTCGACGTACCAAAGCTGTCACTCGGCTACCAACGAACGAAACGAGCCCAATTAGGCACAGGAAACCCGGAATTCCAACGCCAATTGTAATTCCATACTTGGCACCCCTTGGAAGACCACCTGCAATGTGAAATTAATTTCAGTGGGAAAAGGAAAACCAAATTCCAAGCACTCTGTTGTCACAATATTGACCAAGAGATCGTGAATTTTGACAACAGATTAAAATAAATCAATTCAGTTGAGTCTGAGGAGTTTTCATAACGTGATGACTGGCGACATTTATGCATTTCAAAATGACTACAGCCACAAAAATTGTAATATATATGGGGGCTCTAAATAAATGACCCGCATCGCTTTCTCAATAAGTTGAAAAAAATGCTCCATCCAATGGATGTCGAGGCAACAATGGGAACCCAAGACCCTTCCAGTCTCCCAGATGATAGAAATTGAGTCCATTAACGCTTTGACTTTGATCAATCATACACTGTTCATCGTTTCCATTGTAAGTTTCACTCAAAAGCTTCCGATACAACACAAAATAGAAACCAAAAAAATCATCTTGATTTCTTGACTTTGGATCCAAATTAAGGATTCTGAAACGTTTTAAGCGATACTCTAATTTCAAGAACTATTAGATTTCTAGTCACGATAACAATTAACTGTAGATCACTAAGAATTCATGAAGTTAATCTTAATAGAAACCCAAATTAAGTGATTTAAACGCTAATCATAGCTGTGGTTAGTATTAGCATACCTTGGCTTGGCAGATTAATAAAGCACCCAATTTCCTGACTAGTTCTATTCTTGAACCCACAATCCCCTTGACGTTCAACGCATGACCTACAATCCGGTTTGTACCATTCTAACCAGCCTCCCTCCGTCCATCTATACAAATCAAATGGAATTGTGACGGTATTTATAAGGTGACATGAATACGGTAAACTATTGAAAGAATCCACTGAAGAGTTTGTCTGTAAAGCCACAACCGAATAATTCTGATTGCTAAGGCACGGGATTGTCCACAACCTAGCTGCTACTTCGCTATCAGAGCAATTTAAGAACGTGAAGGTATAACTGGATTCTGAGTGAAGGGGAGTTCCCGATTCATCGAAAGACCGCGAGAACCGTTTAGAGAGACAGTTATCAGGATCGTCGATCAGTATCTGTTGGGCCTCGTAATCGATGTATTTGACGGTGAATTCTACGGATTCCAGAAGATTAAGGACTAGTCCTCCTGTTTTGTTGCTGCAGGAAAGACCAAAGCCCGGATAGCTGCAATGACCATTGCGGCTGCCATTAGCGTTCAGCCCGAAAGGAAATTTAACTTCTGGTTCACGGCCCGCGCATGATGTTGAACAAGTGTGAGCAGTCGTTGGTTTTTGAAGAAAGAGTAGAAGGAGGAGGAAAGAAAGAAATGTCACAAGAGCCATTTTTCACGCTTGAATAAGAACGTCAACCAGCATGTTGCCTAAGAATATACCCGAGTCTTTCAAGGAATTTTGTGTGGAAACTTTGATGCTTTCTCTGCGACCGGAGAGAGTGCGGTTTTTTCAATTAGCAAATGTAATGTTGACACGTGTTGTTCTTTTCCCACTAACACGTGATTTTGTTCAAAAATCCGTACTAATAAGAAACTTGTGGTGATCGAGGAGGTAATGGGTTGGGTCCAGAAGAATTTATGATTTTTAAGTTCATCATTAAATAAAGGTTTAAAAATTTTGTACCAATATGTAGACTGGATAGCATTATAATTGTAGCTATAAAGATGACATATTATATTATATGATTTCGATACTATTATGATAATTCATTCTTTTTTAAATTAGTAAAATTCTCTTTTATATACATAAATCACTTTTTTATTCAAAAACTTTTGTACAATTAAAAATATAAAAAATAACAAAATCATTGACTATATGAGTCTATGCAGATAATGAAGGTTTAATGACATCCTTAAAAAATATTATAGTCCAATTGCAAAGCAAATACTTAACAATTTATTAAGTAGTTAAAAAGTATTAACATCTAAGTTTACTATCAATATTTTATAATATACCTAAATTTTTAATTAAGATGATTTTTTTTGTTTGTTTGATGAAATATAAAATAAATAAATTCTTAAATTTTAAAATTAAAATAAAATATATTATATTTAATAATTTAAAATAAATAATTATAACTATCGATAGAATTTAAAATCAATATTTTTTTTTATAAGGAATTTTAATTTATTGAATCACTTTTTATGTTGGAAGGAAACACGTAAGTTGGTATCTGATCTAATGGTTTCTAGCGAGTTTGTCAAGCATGTGAACGGTTAAGATGTTCTTTACTAGATAAGCGTTCGATGGTGGTGGGTCAGCGTGCCAGTGTCCTGTTAACAGAGACCATTCAAAAGTTCACGTCTTTTTTTCATTTCCTTCATTTTTTTTTCCTTGTTTTTTTTTTTTTTTTCTATCTTTTTTCCGTGTTCTATACACAAGGAATCATCAAGCCAAACACGTGTTAAACAACATGGAATTTTGTTATGTTTCTTGAATTGAGAAAGAGTCAAATGAAGAACTATATATATAAAAAAGAAACGCATTTGTTAATCAAATATTTACATAATTTTTTTATTTATTTTCCTGTCCAATCATAAAGTATTTTTTTCAATGCGATTAAAGTTTTAAATTGAACTCCTAAATCAAATCACAGTCGCTATCTATTAATTTGGTTGCGTCATATTAACTCTTTTTAATGCGATTTTCTTGTATATTTCACTGTTGGTATTATTATAACATTTTGAAGCATACCGAATATAAAGTTGTCCATGGTTACTTGACAGGACTTGGTGTTTACTTTTTTTTTTATATATATATTTAGCTTTAAAATGTAGGAAATTTTACTAGTGAATCTAAATATCCAATTAAAAAAATGATAAATTAAGGGTCATTTGTTTTTTTTTTTGTTTTCTATTTTCTTTTTCAATTTTTTTGAAAATTAAAAATAAAAATATGTTTGGTAAGTTGTTTTTGTTTTCTGTTTTTGAAAATTAAAAATAAAATTTTAAAAAGTTTTAGAAATTGTTGAAAATAAAAAATACTTTTTAAGATTTTTTAAAATAATTTGATAATATTACTGCATGAATACTGTTCACATAAATTACAACTAAATCTCTAAAGTAATGTTATAATTATTATATTAATAAAATAATAATTTTATATAAATAATATATTAATAAATATTATTATATTATTATTAATAAATTGAGTTTAAAAACTTTAATCACTTTTTTTGACATATTTTTATTTTCATATTTTTTAAATAAAAATGTTCTATCCAAAGATATTTTTAAATTTAATAAATAAAAAAATAAAAATTTTAAAAATATTAAATAAAAAATAAAACATAGAATAATACCAAACGAATCTTTAATAATTCACACTATTAATTTCAAAGCATTTAAGAGTGGGTTTGCCCAACAAGACCGTAGTTGTGTCAATGGTCCAATTATTGATTGACCAAAATAAAAAGCCAAGAGTAATTAAATAAAGACCAATCTTGCTCATATCTTAGCGTAGCTGGAGGCAAAGCAGCCGGTTATCGAATCTCAAAAAACCACGTATTAATGTTATCCATTTAAGTGTGATGCTATGGTACCTTATTAGTATTTCTTTTTTCTCTTTTTGGTTGTTTAGAAGAATTTTGATAATATTACTATTAAATATTATAGATATCGAATTTTATTCGGATTTATATTTTTTATAATCTAAAAAAATTAATTAATTAAAAAAATTAAAATTTTAAATAAAAAAAAGAAAGAAAAATGAAAAATCCAAACAAAAGAAATAAAATGGAAATGGCTGGTGCCAGTAGGTACCGTGCACGGCACCATTAGCCACCCACGCCCTGTCACTACCCCAGCCATCATATCATCCCCTCGTCCAGTCCCTTCACTCCATCAGCACACATTACCACCATTTTTAACCATATATGACACTCGATTCTCCCTCATTTCAGAGTTGGCTAAAACGCTCGGATATCCCTTTACCATAACACCAAAAAACACGCACTCCTACCAACAACCTCTCAGACAAAAAAAAGCCAAACAACCCCCCCAAATACTCAAACAAAAAAACAAACAGATCTACGAAAATCAACAAAAAAAATCATAAAACATAAACCACAGTCTTCGCCAAATCGGTGAGAAACCCAGTGCAAAGGAGATACTTGCAACAAAAAAGAAAGGTTATTAATTTGAGTTTTTTTTTTAAAAAAAGAAGAACAGAAAACTTTGAATCCTGATCTACATCGATTGGGGACGTTTCCAGCGAAGAGGAGATCAGATCTAGAAAGATCGCTTCGAAAGAAGCTTTCAAGAGGATTTCAAAATTTTCGATCATCGGCGACCACCGCCAGCAATGACCTACATGGCTGTCAGCGTAGCACACGACGCCAGATTCTAGCAGAGGACAGAGAGAACCGAAAATTCTAAAAAAATTTTTTTGGTGAAAATGACGAAATAGCTGAAAAAATTGACTTTTCTAGAAAACCTAGAAGCAAAACGATGCCGTTTCAAGCATAAGAGGATCCGCGCGTGGATCGAACCTGACCCGAGATTCGCG